GAATTCTTAGGGTTCCTTGATATGCTGAATCTAAACATGTATTTAGATTTTTGATTATGGGCCCAGTTTTCAAGTTGGTCCAAATCGGGGTCCAAAATTAAACTTTGTTTGATTTCAACAAAAATTGAATATATGGGGTTCTTTGATATGCTGAATATAACCATGTACTTAGATTTTTGATTTTTGGGCCCCGTTATCAACTTTGTCCACATTGAGGTAAAAAGGGTCCAAAATTAAACTTTGTTTGATTTCATCAAAAAATTGAATTCTTGGGGTTCTTTGATATGCTGAATCTAACCATGTATTTAGATTTTGGATATTGGACCATAATAGGTGAATGTCCAATTTAAAATTTTTAAGTTCTTAGACCACATTCATTCTGTGTCAGAAACCTATGCTGTGTCAAATATTTAATCACAATCCAAATGCAAAGCTGTATCAAGCTTGAATGCTGTGTCCATACTTGCCCCAACTGTTCAGGGTTCGACCTCTGCGGTCGTATCAAGCTGCGCCCTGCGGAGCATTTTATTAAATTTTAAAATGACAAATTCATATGTCTATCTGACCAATAATATATAACGTAAATATTTTGTTGATAATTGCATTCATATTGTTGCATTGGTCAGAATTTGTGCTATATTATGGATAAACAAGTTTCTCTTAATCTCCATTCTTTCTTAGCAATATTTCTTTAACGAGATCAAGTTGACACTGACAATAAATAGTCATACACATGTCATGGTGTTGTTTTTCTCTCTGTCAATTAGTATGATTTAAATGAGATTTCAGTCCGTATAAAACAAAGTTTTTGTTAAGAACCTTCAATTAAACCCATTCATTTGTCTTTTCCTTTGTTTAATTAATTTTCCCAAAAGTTTACTGATAGCTGAATGGAATTTATATCTGACATGAAAATTTTTAATTGCAATAACATGTCTCCAAATTAAAAAAATATGCATAAGTGAAATTTAAAAGTTAAAAACCTATTTTGTATTATTTGGAATGAATAAACAACTCTCATTTAAGAAAAAGATGCAATATTAATTTTCTTAAAGGAAACTTAAGATATAAGGATAGGGTTCTGTAAAATAATCTTAAGGCTGTGTTTGTCATAGAAGTAAGATTTTTATGAAATCAAATGCATTACATTTATTATACAATTTAGGAAAAAAAATAACTTTAGATATTTTACTTTAACTGTTATAAGTATCAGTAAAAAAGGAAATCTTTTCAAGGTCAGTTATGATGAAAAGAGATGTGGTTGATATCATTTAGACAGAAAAGGGGGGAGCTGTTTCTTTCAACTACAGTTATCCTCATGGGAACCATTGCTGATTAACTGTCATTAAATTTCCTTGGTATACAGATTTTTTTTTGGTGAATACAACAATAACAGTGGTTGGTTGAACCATGTTTCATAGCATGCTAAACCTCGGTACAAACATCAAATCTTGTATTCGGTGCTCCTGATCAGACATGGCTGTATAATAATACATTACCTTTAACATTAGAGCAGCACCCAAACCATTAGGCTTTTCTAAAGCTGTTACTCTACAGTCATTTTTATACGGCTGCAAAAAATTTGCGTTCATATAATGCTATCATGTTAACAGTTTTACACAAGTTGTTGTATATTTTTCTCCTCAATAGAAATGTTTTCAAAATAAAATTACAGTTTAAAATTATGTTGGTGAAATGTCATGTTCAAATTATAATAGAAAGACAATAAAGATTTCATTACATAATCATAGAAATAATGCATGGTAATAATGTTGTTTTAACATGCAAGAATACAATTGTCTCTATGGTCAGTAATGTCCTGATGGTCAGTATTGTCCCTATGGTCAGTATTGTCCGTATGATCAGAATTGGTGTCTCTCTAATTCAGAGGATTTTAAACTTTTCTTATGCTGTATAGATGTTTGCCTATAGTTAAAAAATAAATGTTGTAATTTAAATATTTTATTTTGAAATCAGGTGTTGTTCCCTGAATGTCTTTGTTTGTTTATTATTATGGAGAATGTTTTATTTTGAGAATGCTTGTAAAAATATCTTATCAACTTTTCCCAGTAACCTCCCTTTATTTATAACTGTTTTGCTTTCCATTCTGATGAAGGTTAACTACCTGCTGAAATCTCACTATAGCTCTCAGAAAGTAATTAACTAAGATCATTAGAGTCCATCATTTTACCTGTACAGTTTTATAACCATTAGGAAGATTTAGTTTGGGTTATAACGGAAACAAAACATATTCTATCGCTGATACCTAATCATGTCTTAAACCCAATTTGTCAAGAAAATTTAACACTGTTTCTTAATAAATTCATCATTTCCATGGAAACTAACAATTAATTGACGCAAAAATTTCTTTGTCCACAATTCTGTGATCAAATAATGTTATAAACTATTTGTCAGATTGACATTGGTGTCGTTTTCAATAATGAAAGTGACATCCATAGATTTACCTGTTTAGAAATAAACATCTAATTGGTTTACCTGCTGTTTATAGAAATTGGCAGACCATATAAGATGGTTACTTTAAGTTTGAGTATAAAAGGAGTAAAAAGAAAAAAAAGACAGAAGAGTACATTCAAAACTTACAAGTCGAAGAGAACTGACAAAGCCACGGCAAAAGGTGAAAGATTATGAAAAGACAAACAAGTCATCATAACACTACATAAAAAACTAAGACTGAGCAACCAAAAACTGGGGATGATCTCAAGTTATCCAGTGGGTAAAAGATCTCTTGTGGTCTAGAAAAAGAATACAGAAAGCTAGGTTTCTTGGTCAACAGATACATAGCTCATAGAATAATATCATGGACTAAAGACAATATCCATTGTTCAATATATGTAAAATTGTCACTAAACTTTGTTATCCATTCCAAGGGGGGTTTCTGTGGTTTTTGAAAGAGGAAAGGGGGGGAGGAGAGATTAATGTATACAGGTCAGCTGTGTAAGGTGAAAAATTTTTGAACAATTTTATGCTACAAATGATATATTTTCCAATCAAAGAGAGGCCTACACAGTGTATGTCCACCCCTGAATCTGCCACTGAATCTCATATAACAGCAAAGGAATATTTGCTCTGTGTTTAAATTTTCAGATTCATAATAATTATGTTGTTTTTCCCAAAACTTGAAGTTTTATATTAATTTTATATACCCTATTTTAGTGTGTCCTCAATATTGTGCATATAAATTGTCCAGAATATGTCAAAATCGGATGTTCTTGTATATCAATACAGCAGCATATTATAAAGTTGACTATAGATGGCTTTAAGATAAAAAAAAGTGTCTGGTAATGTTTTAAAATATTTGAAAGAAAACCAGTACCGATTGTATTTATCAAATAAATATTATGGAGTGAAAAAGTAATTAAAGCTTGAATCAGATTTACACATGTGAGATACAGATGTCCTATAATAAAATATAGAGAGAACAGTATTGTATTTCCATAAAGAGTTATGAAATTAATAGAATCACCTTATTTAAGGTCTGTGTTGGGGAGCAAAATTCCAAATCTTATAGTTCAGTTTAATTATTTTGTTGCTCGATCTATCACAAATCTTTTGTTTTTTAAGACAGTATTAAAGATATTTTTGTTACTGTTTGGAAACAATAAATGAATGTTTTGATCAAAGTGACTATTTGGGTTGTCAAAAGATTGTTATATTTCAATAGATACTCTTTTTTCTCACTTTTGCAGAACAAATCACATTGTCTCACATTTCCTGTTTTTGAACCTATTATTCCTTTCATATTGAAATTTATGTTTGATCATTTCGGTTAAGACAAAAATCCAAAAGATGAATAATTATATTAATTTAAAATTCATGATTAAAGCTAATGAGCTTAAGACTTCCTGTGTCGATAACGATATGATAATGTTTTCTTTTTTTGTAATCAATTTCAACATTTGAATAAAAAGATGAGGGAAAACTGATCTAAACACCATTGATCTTTGACTTCTGAAGATGAACATTGTTCTTTTTATCGATATTATAGATTTTACATAGGAAAAGGTACGAGCTTGAGTGAGCGTAAAATAATTATGAATTTAATGCACCTTGGAAAAACTTCATGGAATTTAAGTAGAGGATTTCAATATTAAGATATTTTATTTGTTTGACAATATCATGATAGAACAGATAGCATTTCTGATAAATTCACAATTACTTGAATAGGAGCTTGATTGTAACTCATCAAAGATCGAGGATTTTTTAAGCAATATTTTTAATAAGTTAAGGAAAAAGTAAAATAATAAAAATACCGAACTCCAAGGAAAATTCATAACAGAGAGTTTTTAAGATGAACATTGTTCTTTTTATCGATATTATACATTTTAAGAAAGGAGTGAATAAAAAACCAAAAAAATACATTTAAAAAATCAAATAATAAACGCCAAATTGGCCAATCAACATGGAAACTTAAGAAAGTACAGGAAATAAATTCACCACATTCAAGACATGTTTTAATGCCTGTCCCAAATCAGGAACATTATCAATGGAAGTCTTGACTCTGGTCTTAATGTTTTTTGTCTCTTAGGGTACTGAGATGGAAAATCTCTAAGAATCTGTTGAAGTTATCCACCACTTCTCTAGACTCTAGGCAATTCAGAGCTTGAAATTATGTCCAGATACTTGTGTTTTGTTTAAGCCTACTTGTTGGCCTCAATATGCTTTGTTTGTGTCATTGGGTTGCTGTCTCTTTGACAGATACCAAATCTATTTTCATTCATACTCCATGGATGCATATTGTTTTCATCACACAAAAGGCTATCACAATTATTTATACAATCTATACCACTGGACTGTGAAAATAGCACACTTGTAGTGTAAAAATAATTCTAGCATTCTTGAGCTTGTAAACAAAAGAGGTTTTGAGGACTTATATATAAAAGGTTTGCATTTTATTTCATAATTATTTTTTACAAATAAGAGGGGGCAAGTTTTTGAGGACTTATAAAGGGTACACCATGTTTTTAATTATTTATTTACAGATGTAGGAGACAGAATGATAGAGGTTGTAGGATTAGAGAATAGCATGCACATGGGTCAAGTGTATGCCGGTCTACGGTCATCCGGAAAACGTCTTGCTCAGTGTAACCAAGTTGTTATAAGGTAAGAATGACATCATTACTGATAGGGTCAAAGTTAACGATTGTCTTTAAAATGTCTTCCTAAATGTTACCATGTCGTTATAATGTAAGAATGATATGATACTGAGAGGGATCAAAGTTTACAATTTTCTTTAAAATGTCTTCCTCAATGTAACCATGTCATTATAAGGTAAGGCTGACATCATTACTGATAGGGGTCAAAGTTTAAGATTATCTTAAAAATGTCTTCCTTAATATAACCAAGTTGTTATAAGGTAAGGCTGACATCATTACTGATAGGGATCAAAGTTTACGATTGTCTTAAAAACGTCTTGGTCAGTATTACAATGTTTATTTGTGAACCAGGACAACTTTTACTTAACAAGATATCAGGTTAAAAAAATCTACATGTACTACAGTACTCATATATTAGTGATTTTACATAAAATATTTGAGATATAGAGATCTTATTTAAATCAAACTAAACACTTTGATACTGTGAACAAATTAATTTTTTCAAGGATACTAATTTTGATGTAAAATTGATGTTTGAAAATAGAAAAATGTTTCCATGTAATTTATTTTTATTGTTATATTATATATATGATTTTAGAACGAGAAAAAGATTCCCAATGCAGATAGATGGTGAACCATGGTTACAGCCACCTTGTACTGTGAGTAGTTAATCAGGGTGGCACAAATGTCAATTAACTTTAAGAGATGTTAAAATCTTAAGTGTTGATAAATCTATGATGTATTTTTAGATGTTCATAAATCTTTTGTATTTGTCAATGAAATAATTATTTAACATTTAAATTTAAACCAAGTTAATTGACATTTGTCAGACCCAGTCCAGCTCTAAACCAAATTAATTGACATTTGTCAGACCCAGTCCTGCTCACTTAACATACAATCAGTCATACATCAAGAGAAAACATTGTTATACAAAAACCTTCATAACAGTATAATAAAATCAGAATATGACATACTTCATATCATACTTGGAACCTGACAATAGAAGAAAACAGTTTACAGTAATACTACAGAAACTAGACCTTAAATTACAATGTACTTTAATGTTTACAATAGTAGGAAAGGATAACAATACACATGTACTATTAAAACTTGGTTTCAACTACAAAGGAAACTATGTTTTCCTAGAACACTCAAGATTTCATAACACAATGCACTTATGTGCACTGGAGAAATCTTTAAAAAGTTTGAGGAATAATTTTGGATGTCCACAATGAATGACAGAATTTTAATCAAAAAAATATTATATACCTTTGTTAAGAATAAGAATAATTAAATCAGAATGGTTCTAGTTCTTGTTTTTTGTATCTGGTAGCATTATATTTTGAAAAGGGGTAATTTTGTTTTTTTGGGGACTTTAAATAGAGTGATTTTTAGGGCCAAAACCTTCATGATTCTAGTCTTGAGAAATTAATCAAATTTACGCATGTGGAAATTTTTACTTATTTCCAAAAATTTCCAATTCTATAGTATGTGTCCTCACCGTTTTAATTGTATGTCTCGCCTGCGACGAAAGTCGCAGTAATGTGAGACTTAGGTATTACTATCCAGCGGTGTAAACTATTTGTATAAAGCTTTATATTTCAGAAGGTAGAAGACCTGGATGCTTCATACCTAATTATATGCAGATCCTTTATGTTACGAAGTTTCCATCTGTCATATGCCCATTGTCCTTGACCTCATTTTCATGGTTCAGTGACTGCTTACAAAAAAATTACAGTTTTTTTATCATGTGAATTTCTCACTTATTATGTGTAATAGGATAACTATATTTGGTATATGGGTTCCTTGCAACGTCTACATGTCCATCGGACAGGGTTAACCTGACCTCGACTTCAATTCATGTATAAGTGATCAAGGTTAAAGTTACGTGATTAGGTCCCTTTCTCAGATACTACAAGCAGCAGGTCAACTATATGTGGTGTATGGAATGATTGTAAGGGGTACATGTCGGTCTGGCAGGTTTCATCTGACCTTGACCTCATTTTTTATGGTTCATTAGTCATTGTTAATTTCTTGTGGTTTGGTCAGTTTTTCAAGTACTGTAAGCAATAGGTCAACTATATTTGGTGTATGGAATGATTGTAAGGTGTATGCATAGTACATGTCTGTCTAGCTGGTGTCATCTGACCTTGACCTCATTTTAATGGTCCATTGGTCAATGTTAAGTTTTTGTGTTTTGGTCTGTTTTTCAGATACTTATAGCAATAGGTCAACTATTATTGGTGTATGGAATGATTGTAAGGTGTACATATCTGTCTAGCCAGTATCATCTGACCTTGACCTCATTTCTATGGTTCATTGGTTAACATTAAGTTTTTTGTGTTTTGGTCTGTTTTTCAATTACCCGGTACCATAAGCAATGGGTCAACTATATTTGGTGTATAAAATAATTGTAAGGTGTACATGTCTGTGTGACAGTTTTTTATCTGACCTTGACCTCTTTGTCATCGATCTTTAAAATGATAAGTTTATGTGATACTTGTAGTAAAACCTTTATCTTTAAGACTTTCAACCTAAAATCAATGGTCAGTAAAACAGGCAAGACATTTCAGTGTGTGCACTCTTGTTTAATTGATAATACAAAAACTATGATATGAAAGCTAACAAGTCATCAGGTAGAGATTAATGAAATTAAGAAGATGAGATCTTCTTGTGGTATTGGACTTTTGGGCTGTTTTTAAACTTGTGATTTTCTGTTATTTGCAGATTAATATAACTCATAAAAACCAGGTTCCAATGTTAATGGGACCACCTTCCAGTAAGAAATCTTCTCTATTCAAGATTTTCAAGAAATGATACCTACGGTATGTATATCTGTTCCATATTGGTATGATTTTAGTACCTACGGTATGTATATCTATTCCATATTGGTATGATTTTAGTACTGTTTTCTATAGGAATTGGAGTTTGAATAAAACTGCATATTCACCTGAAGGAAAGAAATATTCAATGGGCTAAATGTGACACGCTTTTATCTTTATAATAACAGTAAAATGTTTGACATGCAAATGGTTTTGGTAAATAACTGTCATAAAATACAACTTTTTTCTCTTGGAATATGGAATAAAAACAGTTATTGTCTTGTTTTGGTAAATATGTGGTTAAATTGACATTGAACAACTGATATTAATTTTAGTGGTAGGTCTCAGTGAATATCAGTTTTTCAAAAGTCAATAAAAGTCTTAAAACCACATATTGACCTCATGAAAAGACAGTAATTATATATTATCATAAACAAATCCTTAAAATGAATAATATACAGACTTTGGTCAAAAGTGTTTCACCTATTGAAAATTCCCCTATTATTTCATATAAAAACACATTTTTTTTAAATATTGTCAAAAACTAATTTGAGGTCTGATTTTGATAAAAATTTAATGTTAAACTCATAAATGTGTACAGTTTTATATGCTTATTATGAAATATTTTTATGAAATATCATTACTGAGAAATGATTATTTGTATACAAAAATTGAAATTAAGTGTTTTTCTTTCCTTTATAGCCATATGATTTTTTTATGGAGAAATTCATATTTGTCTTTAAACAGTGATTTCCCTAAAAATTGAAATCATAAGTATATTTTAAACATATTTTATAATTATTGCAAGAAACTGTCAACATTTTTGTATTGAATGCAAATAGTTTCATTCAATTCGGACAAGAAATTTTATTTAAAATGTGTTTTTATATGAAATAATAGAGGAATATCCAATAGGAAAAACACTATTAACCTAAGACTCTACATAAAACATCTTATTTTCACATGTCTAAAATAACCTAAGACTCTACATAAAACATCTTATTTCCACATGTCTAAAATAAAATTTTTCTGTAAAATTTTGGCAAAACTTACTTTTTTGGTGATGTATGTTCAGTTTATTTTGTGTGTGTGTATGTTTGTAATTGCTTGTTGCTCAATCTTTTAATACATTGAGGTCTTATTGACAGGATATCACTATAACCTCTTGTTGTCCAGCATTTACTTACTATCAATGAAATTTTATTAAGAATCACCAGCTTATAAGATCAAAGAAGCCCTTTTTGTACCTCTATAAAAAATAAAAACACCAGTTCACTGCATATATGGAAATACACTTACTCCATAAAGATAAGTTAAAATTTCCTCTTTCAGTTTTGATTCATAAGGCATAAGTAAGTAGGTCATGAATCATTTACAGTACTTATAACAAAAAAAATACACAGAATGATGACTACTCTATGCAACACAACAAATATAGTTATTTCTTTGTTTCTGTACTTACTCACAGGGAAGATGTTATTGGGAAAGTATGGCTAATGACTTGTAACACCATTCCAATATGGAGTATTTCAAGGTTCCTTTAGAATGTAGCTTAGGGCTTTAGATTATCAAACAGACCAACTTTTGTTTTAATATAACCCCTGTAATATGAGAAAATTATTCAGTAGGAGGTGTAACATGGAACAGAAGTCACATGATCAACTTGACAGTTTTAAGTGTTTAATCTATTTGTAGCTGTTTAATCTATTTATAGCTGTTTAATCTATTTATAGCTGTGTAATGCATTTAAAAGTGTTTATTCTATTTAAAGGTGTTTAATCTATTTATATGTGTCTATTTAATTTATAGGCGTTTTATCTATTTATAGGTGTTCATCTTCTGAATACAATACATAACCAAGGGCAGCATCATATATAGACATTCAGTATGCTGTCATCATGGGAACCAGCTGCTGGTCAGCATCCCTGCATCAGGCCAAAGAGGACAAAAGGAAGATAACATTCTACTCACAACATAATCATACAAAAGGAAGATATAACTAATGGTCTATGTAAGAGGTTAAACGGGTGATTAAATAAAAAAAAATATCCGAGTTCTATCCTTACTTCTACAGAGTAGAACGGCAATAAGTTGCAACAATGTTTTTCATTAATTTAACTTTACAATTGGAATGTCCTCCTGGCTTTACAAGAATCTATTCATGTCATATGAATTTTTTTAATTTATTTTCATCATTCATAGTCAGTCTTCGTATATTTTGCAATAGCTTCATGCAAACATGTTATATTTTTAATTAAATCCATTAAAAGTTTTGTGTTGATTATTATGAGAACAATACTCAAAATAAAGTAATAAACACTATAATGCAGTAAACTGGTATTTATTTTTCAGTTAGTAGAAGAAAATTCTCTTGGTTATAAACTGTATTAGAAGGGTTGATAATCAAGAAAATAATTTATTTTTGGCTAACAGTTTTCTATATCACCTGATATACATAAAGGCATCATTGTAATTAATGGGTCAATCCTATCTCCATGGAAACTGTCAGGCCAATTATACTATTTGTAGATAATTACATTGTGTGTTCAAATATTCATGGATGCTGTTATTTATAATTTTCTCATCACTATGGAAACCAAAGATACTTTAATGATAGTTTCAAAAATGAATTTCAGTTTTTAGTATCCAACATGTTTTCATGGTATCCACTTACTGATGTTCACATAAAGTCTTAATAGTTAAGAAATAATTCTTTCTGGTCATGTTTTAAGCTCATTTTCACGATATCTTTACACAAAGCATTAGCGAGAGAATAAAGCACGACAAGAAAGAATTTTTTCAATTCTAATTGGAAAATTCAGAATTTTTTCTTCCAAAACTGACATATAGGACACGTTAGGAAGTCTGCCATTATGATTTGATGAAGCAATACCGTTCTAGAAATCAAACTGTTTCACGATTTAAAACGCCTTCTGTTAAAATGACATTTTTAAATTTCCTATTGAGCAACACTGACAGAAATGTCCATTTTGATCTCTAGTGTCCTTCACAATACATCTCAAAACTGTCACAACTAGTTTCTTGAGAAGTCAGAAGTTTTTTACATAAGGTAATTTAAGGAATGAACAAATTCTGAACTATGACTTTGGATCTGTTCCTTCCTTTGATGGAGGTATTATCTTTCGTTAGGTTATTATTGAAAGGTTACGTAACACATTTTATATTTGAGAATTACAAAAGGTAAAAACTATCATTCTTAAACATTCACCAAATTTCCTAAGAAAGAGAAGGAAATTTAAGCATAATTTTTCATGGCCTTAAATTAATGTATATTAAATTGAATTTTTTTTTATTGATACAGTCCAGTGAGATGAGATTTGCTATTATTTGTAATTATTTATATATATATATATTGTTCTATAAAATGGCTTCTTTTGTGTGCTTATATAGAATATTAATACAAGTTAAATAAAACTTCTCAATTTTTACATTAAGATCAACATTTTTTTTATCGTATTTTTTTTGTAGATTTATTATTTCTGTGTAAGTTAATCAAGTATCAGAACAACCAGGTCAGTTTTTTAACTTTGTGGATACTTATCTTAAACCAAATTTTATAAAGTTCTAGGACTGAGCCAGTACTATTGACTATGGACTACTAATCCATGATGGTATCATCATAACATACCTTTATTAAATGTAGAAATTATTTTAAGAAGCTAAAGTTCCAACTTCCTCTGTCACTTTAGGTGAATTAAACTAATTTTTGTCTCGCCTTGACAGGAGTCAAAAAGCGAGACATAGATATGCTGTTTCTTGCATTGGCAGGGCAGTGGCAGTGGCATCAACAATGAATTAGTTTGTGATTAGGTCAGTTTAAGGGGAATCACTAGTGGTAGGTCTCTGATATTTGGTATGCATATGTATTAGCATTGGCACATCTCATTTCCATGGAGATTGTTTGGCCCCGGCCCCTCAGTCATCATGGTCTGTTGACTTTGAAACTTTTGCTTAGTTTACATGTATAAGTTTGTGATTAGGTCAGTTTATCGGGGAACCACTAGTGGTAGGTCAATGATATTTGGTATGCATATGTATTAGCATTGGCACATCTCATTTCCATGGATATTGTTTTACCCTGTACATTCAGTGGTGCTTCATTGACTTTGAATATTTTGCATAACTTACATGTTAAAGTATTGCTATTTTTATTTCAACATTTGCATTTTTCCAATCAAATAACAAAAAGGCGAGACATTTTTCTGTGTTTACAGTTTATTTTTTGTCATATAGCTCCTCAAGTGGTGTTCAAAGTTTTATACATCCTTCGGTTTCCAATTTGTTTTAGGTTTGAGCATTCTTGATGGAGGTTAATTTAGCACAACCCTTACATTGGATTTATAAAGTTTTATTTTCATTGAGTCAAATGTGTGTTACATGAACTAAATTTAATTTTATATTATTTTAATCTTGAATACCAAATAAATTTTACAAATTTTTATTTCGAAATGTTTTATGACAGAACATGCACTATGTATATATAAAAGGGTGGGTAACTCCTGAAAAAGAGTATAATCTTGTTACGACACGCATGAAAGTTAAGAGAGTCAAGAACTGAAATCAAACTTATAGATGCAAATTTGTTATTAAGTTTTATTTGTTGTGAGTATTATAAACAAACCAGACTTTTTTACAGAGTAAATTTTGTCAATGTGTTACCAATTTGATGCTATTTGCCTGACTCTTTAGCATATAGTTGAAACAAAACATATAAGTATTTTTAACTTAGGTAAATACTTTAAGTATAACTTTGGATTAAACTAGTGTACCTTGGTACTTGCAAGGTGTTATTGAATGTTAGATGGCACTTTTGTGCTTAAAATTTTTCCAAATAATGTGCTGAAAAATAATAACTCCTAATAAAATTGAAGGGCCATGGAAAAAGGGATTAGGGAAGATAAAGTTGGTTTTCAGAACTGTTTCACCAACTTGATTGGTCAAAGGTATTTGTTTAAACATATATAAAACTTTTCAATAATGTTGACTTAGTGTTGGAGGAAATTTATGTTATCCAGGATTTTGACTGTATTATATATAAATAAGTTAAATCATTTTGTGCAATAAGACATGTCTAATAAAACAAAATAGAAAATGTTGATGTGTTAGGAAACTGAAAGAATATTTTGATGAAGAAAAAGTAATTTACTTTCTGTATCTCAGATTATGACAGACACATACAGTTCTGATTATTAAGTTTTACTTAGATATGTATCCCATAAATGCTCATGAAAGTTGGCTGTATTTAAGTATCTAGAAAAAAAAATGTGGAAGGAAAAGAATAATTTTACTATTAGTCCATGGAGAATATGTTTAAACCATTCAGTCAGTACTTTGATGTGTGCTACAACATGATGATAATTATTTAGTGTGATACAGCCTTAATTGTTTTGGTTTATCTTAAACATAGATGTCATACTAACTTCTCATGAGGAAAGATCTATTGCACTAGCCATTATTGATTTACAAGGTCAGTGGGTTTGTGGCACTGGCCATTATTGATTTACAAGGTCAATGAGTTTATACAGTTTTCAAAAAAAATTCTAAATTGGTGAATATATTCATCATAGACACTTATACTTGTCATTTGTTTAAGTTTAAAGATTTTTGTTGGTTTGCTGTCTCATTGACATATCAGCCACACCTTAATTTATATCAATATGAAGAGGAAGAAGTCAATTGTAGTTAATGATTTATTTCCCTGCTATTCCCACTCAGATTCCTTCTATTTGAATTAAGAACTATGAAAAATGATTTCATCATGCAAAGAAACTTTTCTTTCAGATTTCGTTCACATGTTCATTTTAAAGAGATTGTGTAGCTTATTATGTGTTTTTTTTCATGTATTAAAATGGGAGTGAATGAAACTATTAGAGTATAAAGAATTAAACTTTTAATTGTTACTTATATCTGGAGTGTATAATTAATTATTATGGTGGTTAAATTAAGCGTCATTATTGCTCAACACTTTTATACTATGTGTGTAATCCCAAACCTCTGTAACTTTCCTCTTGTCAGACAAAAAATTATTTTTAATGTTATTTTTGAGTTCTACAGTTATTAGCTGCTCTTAACCTATTACTCTTGATAAAACATATAAATGCAATATTTTTTGGTAAAGATTGCATGAAATGTAATCAAAACCCTATGGTACTGACTTGAAATCTATATCTGCCACGGTTTATCACTACCTTTGATAATTGTTTTAACAAAATAGTGCAGTGAAGTGATCAATATAGATCCTATCCAGTCAATGTCATGCAATTTATTGACAATATGTTATAATTTGATATTTGAGTTACAATATGATGTGTATTTGAATTACCATACTTGTCAAGAAAACATTTTTTATTAAGAATTACAAGAGTAATGCATGGTGTATGAATCTGTTATACAAATAGGTTCAACTACAAATGTACAATCATGAACAAAGGAAAGATAACTTCAACTCAATTTATAATTTGCCTAGCAAAATACAATTCAATGTTTTATTTAAAAATTCACAAATTTGCAAAATGAAAGCAGTCTTTACCCTTCAGTGCTCACAAGCACTTTGATTACAAGATACTGTTACAAAAAAAATACAATAATTATTGTATACCTATTGATTTAGGCATTCTGCATTAGAGATCATCTCTGAAGTTCACCCAAAGACAACATTTCTAATGCATATATATTCTACTATATTATACTAGTTATATGCATTTGTCAGAAGTTTGATGAGAAAATCAGAAGATTAATCATGTCATGTGAGAAATTTCATATTTCTGATCTTTTTAAGTAATAGGTTGGTCACTTTGTTCAAGAGTCCCTAATCCCTCAATTTTGATTGAAACTCTTGTGTAAGACATATCTCCTTACCAATGAGATCATAATTTACTTCTTTAAAACAATATCTGTCATTATCTCCCCTGATTAGAAAAAAGTTTGATTATATTAGAAATAAATATTCCACTTGATGCAGTAGGAGAACCTTAATTAATATTTATGAATTTGAATTAAAAAAAAACTACAGTTTGAGTTCTTAGTTCAAAGTACTTTTATTGCTTTATAGTTATAGGATTATAAAATTGTACTATTGTATTTTCACAACATCAAATTGTATATTTAATAACATCAAATTGTACTTTAACAACATCAAATTGTTCTTTCATAACATAAGACTAACTTTCACAACATAAAACAACCCTCCATTTTGTAATGAATGGCCTTTTTTCATTTTGGCGGCATTTTTATATTTTGGAGACAAATAGTTTATCAATAAATGGGGCATTTTAAGCAATATGGAAGTTCTTTTACATATCACGAAAAAGTGCAGAATTTTTCTATTATACTAGATTCTAAGTCCCTAAAAACATCTTATAATGTCCTTTAAAAACCTCATATCAGTGTTTTGTTAAAAGGTAGCATGTAGTTTTGCAAATATGACATTGATAGGCTAAATCAAAAGCCTAATGTGTGCATCCATTTAGGGTTGAGAGATTTACAAGATACTCATAACTTGTACAAAAAGTCTGTACAAATTACTATTTAAACCAAATTATTACTTGTTCAGAACATATATGTCACAAATCAGCTGTACAAATTACTATTTAAACCAAATTATTACTTGTTCAGAACATATATGTCACAAATCAGCATAGATTTGCTATGTTATCTCTCATATTTAGTATGTAGTTTCTCAACTATTGAGCAATAAAGCTCATTTGATTATTACAAAACAGACTGAATATTTCGCCTATATATTTTAAATATATTAATAACACTGAGCAATATATTGGAGTTAATCTTTACAAGACTAAAATAGTCCCCCTATATTTTACATATGAATTTAACACATTTAACCATATAGCTCAGTGAATTTTTACAAAAATAAAAATATTTTATCCTGTTTTTTAACATGATTTTATCCCATTGAGCAATTGAGCTCCAATAATCCTGACAGAACTTACATATTGTGTTTTTCTGTTCCGTGTTTGTAACTTATCCTGTATAAGTGTATAATGGTACAACCAATTTTATATATTTACGTGTGTGTAACTTATATAATGTTCTTGTCTATACCATAAAGAACATTTTTTTTTGTGATAGAAAATAATGTTATCTCATTCTGTATGTTGACAATATATTCTTTGTTAAAATGATAATAAAAATGTTTTCTCAATTTTAAATTTTGCTCATTCTTGTGGTATGAAATCAGAAAGGGAAATAGAATCCTAATAGTTTTTTTGGGTATGAAATCAGAAAGGGAAATAGAATCCTAATAGTTATTTTGGGGTAAGGAGTCAAAAAGGGAAATAGAATCCTAATAGTTTTTTTTGGGGTATGAAATCAGAAAGGGAAATAGAATCCTAATAGTTTTTTTTGGGTATGAAATCAGAAAGGGAAATAGAATCCTAATAGTTTTTTTGGGTAAGAAATCAGAAAGGGAAATAGAATCCTAATAGTTTTTTTGGGTATGAAATCAGAAAGGGAAATAGAATTCTAATAGTTTTTTTGGGGTATGAAATCAGAAAGGGAAATAGAATCCTAATAGTTTTTTTTGGGGTATGAAATCAGAAAGGGAAATAGAATCCTAATAGTTTTTTTGGGTATGAAATCAGAAAGGGAAATAGAATTCTAATAGTTTTTTTGGGTATGAAATCAGAAAGGAAAATAGAATCCTAATAGTTTTTTTTTGGGTATGAAATCAGAAAGGGAAATAGAATCCTAATAGTTTTTTTTTGGGTATGAAATCAGAAAGGGAAATAGAATCCTAATAGTTTTTTTGGGTATGAAATCAGAAAGGGAAATAGAATTCTAATAGTTTTTTTGGGTATGAAATCAGAAAGGAAAATAGAATCCTAATAGTTTTTTTGGGTATGAAATCAGAAAGGGAAATAGAATCCTAATAGTTTTTTTGGGTAAGAAATCAGAAAGGGAAATAGAATCCTAATAGTTTTTTTGGGTATGAAATCAGAAAGGGAAATAGAATCCTAATAGTTTTTTTTTGGGTATGAAATCAGAAAGGGAAATAGAATCCTAATAGTTTTTTTGGGTATGAAATCAGAAAGGGAAATAGAATCCTAATAGTTTTTTTGGGTAAGAAATCAGAAAGGGAAATAGAATCCTAATAGTTTTTTTGGGTATGAAATCAGAAAGGGAAATAGAATTCTAATAGTTTTTTTGGGGTATGAAATCAGAAAGGGAAATAGAATCCTAATAGTTTTTTTTGGGGTATGAAATCAGAAAGGGAAATAGAATCCTAATAGTTTTTTTGGGTATGAAATCAGAAAGGGAAATAGAATTCTAATAGTTTTTTTGGGTATGAAATCAGAAAGGAAAATAGAATCCTAATAGTTTTTTTTTGGGTATGAAATCAGAAAGGGAAATAGAATCCTAATAGTTTTTTTTTGGGTATGAAATCAGAAAGGGAAATAGAATCCTAATAGTTTTTTTGGGTATGAAATCAGAAAGGGAAATAGAATTCTAATAGTTTTTTTGGGTATGAAATCAGAAAGGAAAATAGAATCCTAATAGTTTTTTTTTGGGTATGAAATCAGAAAGGGAAATAGAATCCTAATAGTTTTTTTTTGGGTATGAAATCAGAAAGGGAAATAGAATCCTAATAGTTTTTTTGGGTATGAAATCAGAAAGGGAAATAGAATTCTAATAGTTTTTTTGGGTATGAAATCAGAAAGGAAAATAGAATCCTAATAGTTTTTTTTGGGGTATGAAATCAGAAAGGGAAATAGAATCCTAATAGTTTTTTTTTGGGTATGAAATCAGAAAGGAAAATAGAATCCTAATAGTTTTTTTTTGGGTATGAAATCAGAAAGGGAAATAGAATCCTAATAGTTTTTTTGGGTATGAAATCAGAAAGGGAAATAGAATTCTAATAGTTTTTTTGGGTATGAAATCAGAAAGGAAAATAGAATCCTAATAGTTTTTTTTTGGGTATGAAATCAGAAAGGGAAATAGAATCCTAATAGTTTTTTTTTGGGTATGAAATCAGAAAGGAAAATAGAATCCTAATAGTTTTTTTGGGTATGAAATCAGAAAGGAAAATAGAATCCTAATAGTTATTTTTTGGGTATGAAATCAGAAAGGGAAATAGAATCCTAATAGTTTTTTTGGGTATGAAATCAGAAAGGGAAATAGAATTCTAATAGTTTTTTTGGGTATGAAATCAGAAAGGAAAATAGAATCCTAATAGTTTTTTTTTGGGTATGAAATCAGAAAGGGAAATAGAATCCTAATAGTTTTTTTTGGGGTATGAAATCAGAAAGGAAAATAGAATCCTAATAGTTTTTTTTTGGGTATGAAATCAGAAAGGGAAATAGAATCCTAATAGTTTTTTTGGGTATGAAATCAGAAAGGGAAATAGAATTCTAATAGTTTTTTTGGGTATGAAATCAGAAAGGAAAATAGAATCCTAATAGTTTTTTTTTGGGTATGAAATCAGAAAGGGAAATAGAATCCTAATAGTTTTTTTTGGGGTATGAAATCAGAAAGGAAAATAGAATCCTAATAGTTTTTTTTTGGGTATGAAATCAGAAAGGGAAATAGAATCCTAATAGTTTTTTTGGGTATGAAATCAGAAAGGGAAATAGAATTCTAATAGTTTTTTTGGGTATGAAATCAGAAAGGAAAATAGAATCCTAATAGTTTTTTTGGGTATGAAATCAGAAAGGGAAATAGAATTCTAATAGTTTTTTTGGGTATGAAATCAGAAAGGAAAATAGAATCCTAATAGTTTTTTTTTGGGTATGAAATCAGAAAGGGAAATAGAATCCTAATAGTTTTTTTTGGGGTATGAAATCAGAAAGGAAAATAGAATCCTAATAGTTTTTTTTTGGGTATGAAATCAGAAAGGGAAATAGAATCCTAATAGTTTTTTTGGGTATGAAATCAGAAAGGGAAATAGAATTCTAATAGTTTTTTTGGGTATGAAATCAGAAAGGAAAATAGAATCCTAATAGTTTTTTTTTGGGTATGAAATCAGAAAGGGAAATAGAATCCTAATAGTTTTTTTTTGGGTATGAAATCAGAAAGGGAAATAGAATCCTATTATTATACCTCAGTATGTTTTTTCTATATAAAAAAGAATGAAATATTTGTGCTATTTCATTCCACAGACTATTTGCCAGTCAATAGTTTCAAAGACTATTACCCTGGTTAATAGTTTTATCAACATATTTCACAGATTTTTTCATACTAATTTTTCATTGGACAACAATGACGTCATTGACTATTATGCTTTGATTTGAGCGCTTGGCAACGCGTCCAATTCTGAAATATCGTAAACGTTATAATCTGTATGTGTCTGTCGTCGTAATTTCAAATTTACATGTATATTACTTACCAGAAGCAATTAAAATAGAAAAAGAAAAACTACATATTTAAGATCTAAAACAAAACAAATGTATGGTATGGGACTGTCGTCGTCTTCATAATGTGTGATTGCTTTGGTATACGGTAATATATTTTAGCTAGCATTTATTATATGCACGGGAATTATTACACAAGGATTCCCGGTCTTGATTACAGTAAATAAGATATTTACAAATACCACACTGGCAAAAGGAACCAAATAGTTCATCTTGTGCATGTTTAAATGACTTTTTGGGTGTTTTTTCAAAATGGTGTATGTAAACTTTTTAGAAAATTGTTTTGTTCGGTATAATAAAACACGTAATGACTGGTTATGAGTGTAATAGCAAGTTTGTTGTCCCTTTGATACTAACTATTGCCCTCGGCCTCGCCTCGAGCAATAGTTGGTACCTCAGGGACAACAAACTTGCTATTACCCTCATAACCAGTCAATAGGTGTATAATAGTTTTTTTTTTGGGTATGAAATCAGAAAGGGAAATAGAATCCTAATAGTTTTTTTTTGGGTATGAAATCAGAAAGGGAAATAGAATCCTAATAGTTTTTTTGGGTAAGAAATCAAAGAGGGGAAATAGAATCATTATAGTTTCTCAATTTTAAATTTTGCTCATAACTCATTCCTCAGATCCTATCCATGCTCACTTTGAGCAATGTATTAAAAGTATATACCCAGTTATCCAATTTATAAAATGATGTGTATGTGTAATACTATTTTTGCCCAGAAAACCATTTTGTTAAATGTGACACAAGTAGCAGAAAGTAGTGCTTGGTGTATGAATCTGTCTATTCTATGTATTATAGACAAAGGGATATAACTCAATTCAAAATATTGCCTACATATGCTTAATATTAAGCACTTAATTCAATTTCAAAATTTCACATTCAGTCAAGTTTTAGGGTTAGAAAATTTACATGACCAATGGTCTAGAATTTGGTAATGTCATAGGGTTAGATGTCCCATTGGTATCTTTTGCCTCTCTTTTCATAATGTAAAATTAAAGCAGTCTTTACTCCCTCAGTACTTTCAATCTTTTTGATTCATAGATGGCTTGGCATTGTTCATAAATGTCAACTCTTCAGTTTTGTACAGCACATTAATTTGAATTTCAAGTTGTTAAAATATTAGACATACCTGCTATTCTGTTTGTTCAATAAGGCACATCATGGGGATAACAAACATGCCCACCAATCGTGTATTTTGAAGGCACATACATGTGAACTTCGAGGCTGAAAAATACAAAATATGCCTGCCAATCTTGTAGTTTTGAAGAAACATGCACGTAACCTCTAAGGCTGTAGAATATAACACATGTTGCCAATTGAGTAGATTTTTAATGTACATACATACACTCAGGGCCTAAAGGCATGAAAACACATAACATGCTTGCAAATCCAGTGCACCTTTAGCAAATACATTTGATCTCCAAGACTGGAAGATGAAAAAACAGACCTGCAAAACATTTAAACCCGCTGCATTTTTATGCACCTGTCCTAAGTCAGGAGCCTGTTGTTCAGCGGTTGTCGTTGGTTGGTGAAAAATTTCCGTAATTGTTCTTAACTGAAGGTTATTTCAATTTTCTTGGCGATTTGTGTTTGCTGGGACAATATATTATTAGTTACCCTCTTCCCAGGTTTTTGTATTTGAATGAAGAAATCTTGTTTAAAAACGAAATCCTATCTTGTGATGATTGCTTACTGGTTGCATATAATTGTTACATTTAGGAGTCAATATTTTCTACATCTTCAGAACAACACAATCTTACAAAATAATATCATACAAATGAATAAATATA